CAGCCCCCTGGCCCGGCGCCGGGCGGCCCGCGGGCAGCCCATGGAGTGGGGGCGCCCAGGGCCCAAAGGCGGCTCCTTCTCGGCACCGGGGGCCTGGGCGGCGAGGGGAGGGTGTGGGGCGGGGCTCCCGCCGACTTTGGCGTGTGTGCGGAGGCCGCGCGGGGCTGGCTCCGGAAAACGCCCCGGGACGACGTATCTCCGCTGTCCTCGCGGCCCTGCGGGCTGCCGCACGGCCCCTCGCCTGAGCTCCCGGCCGCGACACTCAGCCTGTGCGCGTCGCGGCCTGGGGCCGCTGAGCTTCGGCGCAGAGCAGCGCAGCGTGCACAGCCATCCCCGCCCGCGCGGGCTCGCTCCCTGGTCCGGGGCGGCGCGCGAGTCCCTCACTGCCAGGACTCGAGCGCGGCTGGGCAGGATCCGAGACTCCACTGCATGCCGGGGGCTCACACCCCAGCTCGCACCTTCGCCTCCTCAATTCAAAAAATGAAAAATAATCATAAAATATCAAAGCCGTCCGATGCGCCGTCGCCGGCGGTTCCCGGCAGTCTTGCCCTCTACAGCCGCAGCCCAGGCTCGGGAGCTTCTCCACTGTCAATGAAACTTTCGGAGCCCGACTCGGTGACGGGCGTGCCCGCCGGCCAATGGGACCGCGGCGCCGAGGCCGCGCGCCGGAGCCCGCCCCCACACCGAGGCGGGCGCGGCAGGGGCGGGCCGGGGCGAGGGCGGGAGGGCTGGTTGCCTCTGCGCACAGGCTGCCCGCGCTGCTGGCTCCTGCAGGGCCGCAGCCCCCTGGGTCAGGTCTTGCAGGTTACGCATGGTGCCCACACCGACCCACACTGCGGGGGAATCATTTCTCGCCCAAGGAAGAGTGCACAGATGCGGCAGGTAGCCAGGGCTTTAACAACTTTGTGCGCGCCCATCCACGCGTACCTCTGCGCACGTTTACAGACTGAGCCGAATGGAGCCGGCATTCTTCTAGCCCATTGACGCTGTCTGTAGTTAACCTGTAAATCTTTACGGAAGCGGACTGCCACATCTTTGTCCCCTGGAGTGGCTGGTGGGTCGAATGGCCAACCTTTCCGTTAGCAGCCAAGCGCTTAACCACTGCTCCACCAGGGCTCTGTCCTATATAGGGTCGCTATGAATCGACTGGAAGGCAGTGGGTTTATAGTTAACCTTGAGAGAAGAGTCAACTCTGGGCACTGGGGAAATCCTGAGTCTTTCAGGCTGAGGATGGAGATCCAGATCTGCTTCCTCTTCATACTATTTGCCCAACTCTTGTTTTCCCCGTTAAGTTTGTCCCTGCCTTGTCGTGGTTCTGGGGAAACAGGATGTACTGGAATTGAGAATGTTCCTCCTTTTTCTCCTAATAACCTCCATTTAGCTTGTTTTCTGGACAAGATCTAGAGAAACCTGGCTCCTAATTGAGAACCCAAACCCATTGCCATCAAGTCGATTCTGATTCACAGCAACCCTATAGGACAGAGTAGAACTGCCCCGTAGGGTTTCCAAGCAGCGGCTGATGGATTCCAAATGTGGACCTCTTGGTTAGCAGCAGAGCTCTTAACCCACGCAGTTTGGTTCTCTGGGTCAGTGGGGAATCTTCAGCCATTTGAATCACCTTTGTGGACGTTCCTTTTTTGTGTGTGATAGAGTAAGCTTTTGGTTTGAACTCAGATGCCTTTACAAATGCTCTGAGAATTACAGGTAAACTGTGAACCATTACTTTTTATGAAGACTGAAGGCAGTGGAAATCTGGTGAAGACACCCTGAAACTTACACCTTGTATGTGGTTTGGAGCCCTCAAGAACCGTAGATATCATCTAAGTCCTAAACGCAGTCATGAACCCACATCAGTGGAGCTAGAGCATACTACAGGAATTTAAATTTAGCAGCTAATCATTACTGCTACCAACAGATGTTTTTGTGTTTTGTTTAAGTCTGATGTAAATCTGCCACCCATTTTACCAGAAGTCCAGCATTTTGATGTCCTTTCTATCTCTCTTGCAACTTGTTCTTGTGAATTAATTAAGAGGTCATAAAACACCCTAAATTTTAAATAATACATGTTACCACATGAATCCTCAGTTCTATTTGCAGTATTTTGTCATGTTCTTAGTAGACTTCCTATATTAAAAACTGTATAGTTTTCTTCAAAATAACTGTTGTGGACACCTAACTTAGACATACAAGAATCCAGCAGATTGCTGATCTTACCAAATCTGCTGCTTGCTTTATTTGCCACATCGTATCCCAATTTGGCTGTTCAGCTTTTAAAGAGTTCAATACCTTTGCCCAGTTCTGAGTCTTTACAGCATATCCACTCAAGGGGGAGTATCGTAGTGTAGGCTGCATCTAACACAGGGTTCTCAATGCAGGCTGCACATTACAGTCACCCGGGAGATTTTTCTAAAATGCAAATGCTAAGTGCCCACACCCAGAGATGCTGATTTAATTGGCCTGAGATGGGACCTCTACTTCTGTGTTTTTGTTAAAGTTTTCAGGTGATGCTCAGGTATGCAGTCAGGGTATCGACCACTATCCTCATTACCATATCCAGATCTCAGGAGACATCCCATTGTCTTTCAAAACCAGCATCACCAAACAATTCCCTCTCCTGGAGGTGTGTTTTTCACACTGGGATCATGGTAACTACACATATCAGTGCCAGTGGTATTGTCTTTACAAGAGCTGTTTTAACCCAAGTTTTCCTGAGTCCAACCATCAGGATCTGGTGTTCAGACAGACTTGTTTTTAAGGGCCCACAAGCCCACCAAGATATTGATTACATTGTTCAGGTGCCCTTCTTGCCATGCAGCCTTTACCCCCAATCTGAGAAGATCTCTGAAATCTGAAAGAGGGCATAAGTTAGCAAACACTTTGGGGAAAAAAGTCAGCTATACACAACATTCATAAGTGTATTATCTTGATATTTGATGAGTACCTAAAGCATATGACCGCACACTGAACTGAGCTCCAGTTACTTGATGAGTCTCTGCATCTATGTTGACAATCAATGTCTTATTTTGATCACTGCCAGCTGGTCAGATTATTGAAATTTTCTGTGCCTTGGTTTCTTCATCTGTAAATTGGGAAAAGTAATAAAACCTATCTAATATGGGATGCTTTACATCTAGAGATGATTTAAAGAGTGCTTAGAGAAGTTCCTGGCTCATAGTAAGCATTTGAAGAATATTATTATTATTATTATAAAACAAGGACTGGTCCTACATATACAAAACTGTTATGCTGAGGCAAAGTGACCTGCTCTGGTACTCAGAAAGATGCACTGGCTTCTAGCAGTATGTTTTAAAACTGTGATGCAGTGAAATGAGAGACATTTTCCTAAGTATTTTTAGCCACAAAGAGCGTATCACTTGTGCCTTGTATATGTTTCTTCTCTCTTGTTTAGCTTTTGTCTTTTCCTTTGTCTTTTTCAATTTGTTTTAATGCTAGGCTGATTGACAAAATCATTCAGAAATGCCATTTTTGTCCCAAGTGCTAATTTTCTCTATCATGTTCAACCTGCAAATGCAGAATTAGTAACTCTTTTCAGTCCCATGTCGTGTTTAGCCCTATGTCATTTATTATCTTCTCAAATATTTTGTTAGCTTTTTTGAAAGATCTCAGGAGTGAATGTTATCCCAAATGGTAACGCTGCCAAAACAATACCTCCCACAGGGATATTAAAGTTGTCAACCTGGCATTTTCTTCTTCCAGGAAATCTGCCAAAATCCATGGGCGCCATCCAGCCTGTAGAGAGTGTGGCACCTCTGGCCAACATAAGGATGATGTCTTCTAGCATAGGTAACATGTGTTTCCCTTACACAAGGCAATCTTTGTGTAAGGGAAACGCGTGTTATAAATAACCCCTTCAAGACTCAATTATGTTCTCCTTTGAATTTTTTGTTGATACCTTGTGTTTTCACTAATGGAAGGCATGCTGATTAAAGGACCAATTCAGAATTTTTATTATGATTTATGGATTTTGATACCCATTATCTGGGATCCAGTATATCCCATGAGACCCTGGACATCATAAATCCTCTTGATATGAGTCAATGATAAAATCTTTTTCTTTTTTTAATTTCTTGAAAATTAGCAAAACATGAGGTAAAACCTGAAGGCACCTGGCAATGACTGCACATGTATTTTGTTCTAGTCTCCTTCTTCTTAGTCTTTTTATTATTCTTCATGAAACATTTCAAAACATGGTACAATGCATTCTTCCTTTCTGCAGAAGCAGTACTTACAACCCAAATGAATAATGCCAAGGGATTTTTTATCTCAGGAAAATGACCACTACAATGCATTCTTCATTACTGCAAAAGCAGTACTGACAGGCCAAATAAATAAAACTAAAGGAATTTATATCTCAGAAAAATTACCACTACTGTGTATTCTTCATTATAACAAAAGCAGTACTAACAGCTAAGAAGCAGAAACAGCTGCCCTGGAATACTGCAGAACTGCTCACACTGGTGCATTTCACCTGCTACATGTGGAAGCAATGACTGGACCTAAGATTGAATGCAGGGTTAAGAATAACTTATAGTTTCTTGAAAAGTAGCACTGCAATGCATTATTCCTTATTGCAAAGGCAATATTTACTGTTCAGAAGCTAGAAAAGCAGGGAGCCAGTAACACCTGGAAACAATGAATGGTGTTAGAGAGAAAATGGCCGCTATGACTGAATGAAGACTAGGAATAGCTTATTCTTGTAATAAGTACGTTCTTATGAGAGCATAGTGACTGGGAAACATAGTTAGGAGGCTTATCTCACAGACATAAAGGCAAGCCTGTCAAAAGTTTAGAAAATTCACATATCCAAGAGGCATCGC